TTTGAATGTATGTATTGATGGCATCGAATTGTGCCGATATGAAGACCGCCCTGAGTCGCTGATATGGGCAGGATATAAATAATGTAAATAAATAAATAAATAAATAAGAAAGACAGTTGCATCTGTCAAGTAGGAAATTTAGGTATCACTTATGTGGGGAGGCTAATTTAACTAATTTACGAGGCCATAAAAATCTCCAGCAAGCATGCGTGGAATGAGGAAGTACTTCATCGGTGTCGCAGATGGACGGTGAAGTGACTGCTCCCCTGCTGGCCAGAAAAAGTTGGAATGTTAAATAGCCTCTGACTGTTTGTTTATATATGTTGTGTGTCTATGGCATTGGATGCTTGCCATCTATATGTATATTGTAATCCGCCCTGAGTCCCCTGCGGGGTGAGAAGGGTGGAATATAAATACTGTAAATAAATAAATAAATAAATTTGGATTTTTGGATTTACAAATTTCTACTTACAAGGAGAAGTCTTCTTGAAAAATATATATGATTACTAACTTGGGACTCTTATTGAATGAACTTACACTGCTCTCAAGAAGGGAATAATTGTTATAAGACTCTGTGTGTACAACATCTTTTTGGTCACTGTATACAGAGGCGGCCCTAGGTAATTTTCAATAGTAAGCAAAGAGTATTTTGGCGCCCCCTCCCCCCAACCAATCACTGATATATATTTTCTGTTTGTCGTGGGAGTTCTGTGTGCCATATTTGGTTCAATTCCATCATTGGTGGAGTTCAGAATGCTCTTTGATTGTAGGTGAAGTATACATATCAGTAACTACAACTCGCATATGTCAAGGTCTGTTTTCCCCCAAGAGCGCCTCAGGAGCGCCCCTGGGCAAAATCAACTATACTGCAAATGCTTACTTTGCGTAATGGGTTGAGCCGCCCCTGACTGTATATGACCATTATGATAGCATATAAGTTGTAAAAAAAACCTATTACTACTGTGATTGATGTACTACGGTTTGTAGTAGTTTCGTGTCTTTGTACTGGTACTTTAGGGAATCAATTTTCAGTTTAGTTCATCGATCTTTTATCCACTTACACCCCATCTTCCACAATGAGGCTTAATGCCCAATGCTATGTGCATTCCAGTGAGAGACTCATATTATAAATTTAATAAGATAATAAATATTCAAAAATTGTAATATACAGTCTACAACAGTAATTCTCAACCTTCCTAATGCAGCGACCCCTTAATTACAGTTCCTCATGTTGTGGTGACCCCCGACCATCACATTATTTTCGGTGCTATTTCATAACTGTAATTTTGCTACTGTTGTGAATTGTAATGTAAATATCTGGTATGTAGGACATATCTTCACTGGACCAAGTTTGGCACAAATACTCAATATGCCCAATACTGGTGGGGTTGGAAGGGGGATTGATTTTGTCATTTGGGACATGTAGTTGCTGTGATTTATAGTTCACCAACACTCAAAGAGCATTCTCAACTCCACCAATGATGGAATTGAACCAAACTTGGCACACAGAACTCCCATGACCAACGGATATATACTGGAATGATTTGGTGGGCATTGACTTTGAGTTTGGGAGTTGTAGTTCACCTACATCCAGAGAGCACTGTGGATTCAAACAATGATGGATCTGGACCAAATTTGGCAGGAATATTCCATATGCCCAAATGTGTACACTGGTGGAGTTTGGGGAAAATAGACTTGACATTTGGGAGTTGTACTTATTGCGATTTATAGTTCACCTACAATCAAAGAGCATTCTGAACCCCACCAACAACAGAATTGGGCCAAACTTCCCACACAGAACTCCCATGACCAACAGAAAATCCTGTGTTTTCTGATGGTCTTTGGCGACCCCTCTGACACCCCCTTGCGACCCGCCCAGGGGTCCCGACCCCCAGGTTGAGAAACACTGGCCTACAACAAGCACTGCATATCACACATTAGGAAATTTATGTAAAAGAAATCATGAGACCATGCTTGCCAGACTTCTTGGTGACTACCACCACCCCACTCCAATTCCACTGTGATCCTTATGGGGAATGGGGCATACATTTTTTAAAAGCCATTTTCAAGAAACTACAGAATAAAGACTGAGTTTTTTTTAAAAAAAATGTAGAACTCAACAATTTGGGTGCATCTGGGTGCCAAAAACAAAAGTTGAGAGGAGGTCAAATCTGTCCACAATATTTTTGGGTTGCCCTGGACAACCCTATGCTTGGGAAATGCCTTTGTTAAAAATGGAAAGTGAAAAAAGTGATTCTAAAATAGTCCATATTGCAAAAAATGTGACCAAAATGCCAAATGTCCCCAGAGCAATTGTTCATCCCTGCCCTGGAGCAAAAATCCCAGGACAAAAAAGAAAGCTTCTCAAACAGAACTGTGAGAGTAAATGTGAATCATGGCCCTGCTGTGGTGCAAGTTCAAAGTGTAATGTGTTAGTTTAACAACGTTTTGAAAAATAAGTCAATTTATATTTTGTTTGCAAATGAAACCTATGCCATGCTTTAATCATCATAACAAATGATACCAAGACATTTGGAAAGACTGTTTCCAGAGTTCAAAAAGATATGAGATAGATTCCCCAAAACTACTTCCTTCCAAAATGAAAACATTCAAGTGATTCCCCCACCCCCATCCCGGATCACAGCAAATCTCCACACACGTTTGGAAAGTATAATGTTTTGGGCTATAGTTATTTCCATGTTCGCCCTGTGACTTAAAAGGCAGATCACTTGACTTCACTCTTTAGTCAGCTGCACTTGGAAGATGCTTCCTAAATAAGACAATGCTGGCTTATGTCATGGAAGGACTGATATAGGTTAGGGCAGAACTCTCCAAACTAAGACCTATGGGCTGGATGCAACCCTCCAAAGTAATGTATCCGACCCCTGCCCAAACTTTAGACTTAGGGCCACTCTAAGTCTGAAATGACTTGAAGGCATACAACACAATAATCCTAACTAACTTGACTATTTCATCAGCCAAAAACAGGTCTAAGCTTCTCATTGAAATAATGGTAAGTTTGTGTTGGTTAAAATTGTTCTTCATTTTGAATATTGTATTGATCTTCCATGTTTTTGCACTACAAATAAGATATGTACAGTGTGCATAGGAATGCATTCATGTTGGTTTTTTTCCCCCCTTCGAATTATAGGTCCTCTGCTTAAAAACTTGGAGGACTCCTGGTTTAAGGGGTTTCACTTTCCTGACCTTCCATTGTCATCTATATAAATAAAAATGTAATGTTAGTTTCTGGAATTAACAGAACTCAAAAACCACTGGGGGAATTGACACTAAATTTGGACACAATACAACTAACAACCCAATGTATGTCCTTCACTCAAAAAAAATGATTTCGTCATTTGGGAGTTGTAGTTGCTGGGATTTATAGTTCACCTACAATCAAAGAGCATTCTGAACTCCATCAATGATGGAATTGAACCAAATGTGGCACACAGGTCTCCCATGACCAACAGAAAACACTACAAGGGATTGGTGGGCATTGACCTTGAGTTTGTGAGTTGTAGTTCACCTACATCCAGAGAGCACTGTGGACTCAGACAATGATGGATCTAGACCAAACTTGGCATGAATATTCCATATGCCCAAATATGAACACAGATGGAGTTTGGGGGAAATAGACCTTGACATTTAGTCAAGGAGTTGTAGTTACTGGGATTTATAGTTCACCTACAATCAAAGAGCATTCTGAACCCCACCAACAACAGAATTGGGGCAAACTTCCCACACAGAACCCCCATGACCAACACAAAATACTTAAGGCCATCCAGTTCAATTCCCTTCACCAGGGCAAGAAAATGTAATCAAAGCCTTCCTGACAAAGAGCCATCCATCCATAGATATAGATAGATGTGATCTACACACAGAGAGATATAGTATCATATATTTGAAAGGTAAAGGTAAAGGTAGTCCCCTGACATTAAGTCCAGTCATGTCTGACTCTGGGGTGTGGTGCTCATCTCCATTTCTAAGCCGAAGAGCCAGCGTTGTCCGTAGACACCTCCAAGGTCATGTGGCCGGCATGACTGCATGGAGCACCCTTACCTTCCCGCCGGAGCAGTACCTACTCTACTCACATTTGCATGTTTTCGAACTGCTAGGTTGGCAGAAGCTAGGGCTGACAGCGGAAGCTCACGCCGCTCCCCGGAATCAAACCTGCGACCTTTCGATTAACAAGCTCAGCAGCTCAGTGCTTTAACCCACTGTGCCACCGGGGGCTCCTATTTGAAAGGGATCCCTAAAGAAGGACATATTTGAAAGGGATCCCTGAAGAAGGACAATTATATTTTGCATCTTCCAGAGTAGGCAAACCAGACAAAGAAGAAGCAAGAAATACTGTTTACCCACAAACATAAAGAAATTACATATATTAGAAACCAACACTTTCTCATTACTTTATTTTTCAGATCACCAGATTGGGCCACAGCAATGCATGGCAGGGGATGGCTAGTCATACTATAAGACAGTATCAGTGGGCAACTGGATAGCGTTAGACTGTGCTGAGAATCATGTAGCCGTTCAGAGGTTTTTCCACTGAAATATCCAGCACTTTTGATCAGTATAACTGATGGTTAGGAATACTAGGAACTGTAGTCTAACAATGTCTGGAGAACTGTGTGATTCTTTCAACTCTTTTAGCTCTTGGGCTTAACAGTCTTATAACTCCTCCTAGCTTATTACGGCTATATGATTTACTTTAGTTTGTTTTCTCAGTCTTGCCATCCAGTGCTTTACAAATGCTTCTACATTCTATGTTGTCTTAAAGGGAAAAAATTGCCAACTTTGTTAAAGTGAAATGAAAAGAAGCATTCTGAGCATGTCTACTTCTCATTTTAAATCTGCATCATAGCACCATCACTGCCACCAAAACAAAACAGAGTTCGCCTCTACTTCCCCAATGCTTAATATGGTTTCATTGGTAGCAAATGTGGCTATATTTTAGATGTAAAAATAATAAAATGAACATTTGTAACAAATGGTCACTCATTGCTATAAAATGTTTTTATTATAAAAATATGAAGAACAGAAACAGCAGTAAACGGTGTCAGCCATCGTAAGCCTGGACATGCCCAAAAAGGGCCAGGTCTTGGTACCATCCTGGTGACCATGGCATGCTATTTTCTGAGTGGTCAACTGAAGATACCCCAACTTGTAGGACTCTCAACATGTTCCCAAGGGCCAGCCCTACTACACCACCCGCAAGATATGCATAAGAAAAACGTTCTCAAACAGAACATCTTGGGTGACCTCAGGTAGAAGTCACCAAGCTGTTAACCGATTTTCCTGATGGTGGACAACAGGGCTAGTGGTGTACTATGTAGTGCCCTCCTTTCTAAAGAGCACGGAAAGATCTGCATCCTATTGGGGAATAACAAAGGAAAGCTGGTTGGTATGTTAAGGGGCAGCTTGGCCAACGTGCCAAACTCAGTCCAGCAAAGGCCATGATCCATGCAGTGGCCCACAGGACCCAAATGGTCGATAAAACCATGTTTAAGACAGTCAACAGCAGTGTCCTTTGCTCCCCAAGGTTTCTCAGCCTCTCTCTTTAGATTCCATACACAATTCCAGTCTCCACTACTAAACATTTTTTTTGTCCTGTTGACTGAGCAACTGGGAGACACAATAGGGGATGAGAGCAACTGCTGCCAGGGGCACTGCCGCACTCTTGCAGAAAGAGAGTACGTAGAAGAGCAGCTCCATCTTGGCAGGAGGCTTGAAAGAGTCAAAGAGGTGGAGGATAAAGAGCGAGGCCCCAATACAGCTCATTCGGAAGGTCCGCTGCTGCCCTTTCTTCCCCTTGCAGCTCTCTGTGTACATTGGGGAGTTGAGTGCCAGTCCCAGTCCAAAGAGCACACCCAGGTTGCGTAGGAGGCCGGCAAAAGGTGTGGTGTCCAAGTGCACCCACTCAGGATGCTCACACCATCTCTTGGCTTTCTCCAAGGTCCATAGGAGGTCCACACCCAGCACTTTGAGCAGTACATAGAAGCCCAGGGCAAAGGAGAAGAGAAAAAGGGTGGTACCCAAATACCTCCGCAGGCTCCCGTCATAGATGGAGTGTATGCGCTGGAAAGACTCAGCCACCAACATGCCTGGATTGGAAGAAGGAGGAGGCAGAACATTCCAAGTCAGATAGGATTTTTTCACAACACAGATTGCAATGTGTTTTGCAAATAGGCATGGATAGAGTCGCTCGGATAACTTGTTGCTCGTAATAATTTCATTAAAATTATCTTTTTGAAGCGATATCAAAGCTTTTTTAAAAAAATGAAAGTCCCTTTGCCCTTCCGAAGCTTTTTCCGCCATTTTTGTTACGACTCAGGAAGTGAGTCGGAAACGATTCAGTTTTTCCCTGCTTCTGGTCCCTGGCCTCACCTCAAGCCAGGGAAGCTAGTTTTAGAGCCAGAGAAGCCAATTTTATACCAGAGAAAGAAGGAATTCTTGGCCTCGGCTCAAGCCAGAGAAACCAGTTTTAAACCAGAGAAAGAAGGAATTTCCTGGCCTCGGGTCAAGCCAAAGAAGTCAGTTTTAAAGCCAGAGATGCCAGTTTTAAACCAGAGAGCTGAGGCCAGAGAAGGAAGGAATTTCCTCCACTTGCTTTACCCCACTCCTGGTCCCTGGCCTTGGATCAAGCTGAGGCAGAGGGACCAGAAGCGGGGGTAAGCGGAGGAAATTCCTTCCTTCTCTGGCTTCAGCTCAAGCCAGATAAACCAGTTTTAAGCCAGAGAAGGAAGGAATTTCCTGGCCTCAACTCAAGCCAGAGAAGCCCGTTTTAAATCAGAGAAGGAAGGAATTTCCTCCATTTGCTTTTCCCCGCTTCTGGTCCCTGGCCTCGGCTCGAGCTGAGGCAGAGGGACCAGAAGCGGGGGCAAGCGGAGGAAATTCCTTCCTTCTCTGGCTTCGACTCAAGCCAGAGAAGCCAGTTTTAAGGCAGAGGAGGAAGGAATTTCCTGGCCTCAGCTCAAGCCAGTTTTAAATTCCCTCCACTTGCTTCTGGAGTAGAACAACTACTTTCAAAGTAAAGACCACCCAATGAAACAGGAAATAACACTTTCGAACCATTAACGAAAGGTTCAGAAGTCTCAGAAGTTTCTAAAAGTTTTGGAAAAAAAATTCTGTGAAAATCGGAATTGACTTTAGAATTGAACCACCTACATCCGAAACGAGTCTTGAATCATTTTTTGATCAATCAAGCCTATTTGCAAAATAGCTTATGTGACTAGATATAGCACTCCCAAGGCCCTTCCATATTGTACAATTACAGTATTATAAATACTCTAACACTGCAATTTTATAGTGCTATTATTCCACTTTAATTACCATGGATGCATTCTATGGAATTCTGTGGTTTATATTTCTATTAGGCCCAAGAACACTCTGGTTGCGAATCCTAAATGCATTTCCAGAAAGGGTAAATTCCCAGGAATTCATAAGAGATTGCCCTTGGTAGTTAAAGTGGAATAATAGCGCTATGAATTATAAAATAAGTGCAGTGTGCGGTGTGCAGTGATCTTGGTTCTACTAAAGTGCTTCAGGGACTTGGTATTGGAGTTTTCCTATTCTGGAAAGGCACATCGAAACAGCCAGGTCTTCAAGTTCTTTCTAAAGACTGCCAATGTAGGGACCTGTCTAAGATCTTTGGGGAGGGTGTTCCAGAGTCGGGGGGCCACCACAGAAAAGGCCCTGTCTCGTGTCCCTACCAAATGCACCTGCGACACAGGCGGAATCACGAGCAGGGCCTCTCCGGATGAACGAAGTGAATGCGTGGGTTCATAAACGGAGATGCGGTCACACAGGTAGGATGGTCCCAAACCATTCAGGGCTTTGTAGGTAAGCACCTGCACCTTAAATTGGACTCGGAAAATAAACGGCAGCCAATTGAGCTCCTTGAACAGAAGGGTTGACCTCTCTCTGTAAGGCGCACCAGTTAACATCCTGGCCGCTGCCCGTTGGAGCAGTTGGAATTTCCGAGCTGTTTTCAAGGGCAGCCCCACATAGAGTGCATTACAGTAGTCCAATCTAGAGGTGACCAAGGCATGGACCACCCCGGCCAGATCAGCCTTCGTTTGAGAGCAAATGGCACAAGGACCGCACTGACCTGAGAAGACACCAGCAATGACTTGGTGAGGAAAATGGGCAGCAATGAAGACACGGGAGAGGCAGACACAGACTTGAATGGCCCAAAAAGTAGTCCACAGCATGGTTCTGATGAAGCTGCAAAAGGAGGCAAAGAAAAAAAATAAGAGGGACCCCAGGCAAGTTTTTATGTCAGGCATTGCTGCCAAGAAAAAAAAACATTTTCTACTTCTGCCACCTGGACTTTATTACATGAGAGATGCAAACTGGCATACTCATCCCATACCTGCCACCACTTTGCAATTACCCCATTCCCTGCTATTGACAATCAAAGCCTGTCAACAATTGTCAATCCAGCAATTTTTCTGCAACATTCCCGCCCTCTATCTTGTCAATGAAGTGACTCCTGAGTTGTTGTTTTTAAATTATAATAATATTTGGCTTTTTAAACATTAATCACTGCTGCAACTGAGAAATTGGTTTTAAAATAATACAGAGCAGTACAAATGCTGCAAGGTGGGATTACAAGGGTATGAAGACGTATAAGTGCCAGTCTATGAATTGGTAAATTATGCAAATGGAGAGAAATGTGATAATAGGGTGTTCATACTAGTATGTATCCATTTCCACTACTTGTGGAATTGCAAGAGAATAGTGACTCCATATGATAAAATCCCAAGCCTAACATTGCCATAATGTTAGATGAAAAGGCTTTGATAAACTAAGCTGTGGATGGTGACGGGATATAAATGAAGATTATTATTATTATTATTATTATCATTATTATTACTAGCTGTGCCCTGCCACGCGTTGCTGTGGCCTATAGTAAGAATTTTCAAAGTAGAGGTAGATATCTGGACTATTATGAAAGAGCCGTACCTACCTATTCCTTCCCCCCTTTTTCTTCCCCTTCCCCTCCTTTCTTCCTTCTCTACCTCTTTTTTCATTCCTTCTTTTGCTCTTTGGTTTCATCTTTCCTTCTCTCTTTCCTTCCTTCCCTTCCCCTTTCTCTACTTCTTCCTTTGCCTCCTTTCTTCCCTCCCTGTTTCCTTCCTTCTTTCACTTTCCTTTTCTCCTTCCTTCCTTCTTTACTTCTTTCCTGCCTTTCCTCCCCTTTTTCTTTCCTTTCTACTTTGTATTCTTCCTTCTGTACCTCTTTCTTTCCTTCTTTCTCTCCCTTCCTTCCCTCTTTCCTTCCCTCCTTCCTTCTTTCCCTCCCTCCTTCTCTCTTTCCTTCCTTCCCCCTTTCCCTCCTACATTCCTTCCTTCTTTCCCTTCCTCCTTTCTTCTCTCCTTCCTTCCTGTCCTCCCGCAATACTATGGTAAAGTCCCTTCTAATTCTATTCTATGAGTCTATTTAATATAGTAATATATTGAATTTAAAGGTATTTTTGTGGGTTTTTTTTTCAGTGATGGTCACTCCTTGGATTGTGGGGAGTTTTGTTGCCAAATTTGGGGTCATTTGGCCCAGTAGTTTTTTTGTTTTTAAGGTACTCATTACGCACAGAGCATTTTTATATATATAGATTATTATTATTTGTATACAGCAAGATTGATACACAGCAAACAAGATCACTATGCTGGCTTTTGTGTTTGATCATATGTCAGACACTTCCCAAGTGTCTGTTGTTGTTGTTGTTGTTGTTGTTATTGTTATTATTATTATTATTATTATTATTATTATTATTATTATTAATGCACGAGATGAGATGCTGCCCTTTGCTTCCCATTCATGCCATCTCAGGTGAAGAAAGTTTTCACATGAAAGCTGTGTTTTCAACAGGTTGTTCCCATCTTGTTTTCTCCTAGCTTCTCAACTGACATGACTCTGCTGTCATTGTCATTCCACTAACCCAGTTGTTTGACTTTGTTATTTTTAGTAAGACATAAAGGTTTTGCCATGTTACGATTTTTTTTGTTGTGTCAGGAGCGATTTGAGAAACTGCAAGTAGCTTCTGGTGTGAGATAATTGGTCGTCTGCAAGGACGTTGCCCAGGGACGCCCGGATGAATTGATATTTTTATCATCCTTGTGGGAGGCTTCTCTCATGTCCCCGCATGAGGAGCGGGAGCTGATAGAGGGAGCTCATCCGCCTCTCCCCAGATTCGAACCTGCGACCTGTAAGTCTTCAGTCCTGCTGGCACAGAGGTTTAACCCGGTGTGCCACCGTGGGCCCCACACCACATTACGATAATTAAAACAGAGTAAAAACATGGTTCTGGCCCAGCTTACTTGTCCGAACGCATCCACCCCTAAGTCCCACCTCGTAATCTAAGATCATACTGGGAGGGCCTTCTCTCGCTCCTGTCAACATCACAAATGCGACTGGCGGGTACGAGAGACAGGGCCTTCTCAGTTGTGGCCCCCCCCACCTATGGAACACACTCCCAAATGAGGTAAGACTGGCTCCCTCCCTCCTGGCTTTCAGAAAGAAATTAAAATCATGGTTTTGGGACCAGGCTTTCAGACAGTAGTTGTAAGTAGCACTTTAGAGGGACATTGACTGGAACAGCGATGAGACTATTTTACTGTTTTAATGGTTGCTTATGTATTGTTTTAACTATGATTTATGTTCAATTGTGGTTTTATTATTGTATCGGTGCCCATTGTAAGCCATTCTGAGCCCCCCTTCGGGATAGAGAAGTGACGGGGTATAAATATGGGAAATAATAATAATAATAATAATAATAATAATTATTATTATTATTATTACTATTTAACTGGAAAGTCACTGCAAATGCGGAGAAATGTCTTGGTAAAAATGTAAGAGTCTAACCAAACAGGGTCACACAAATACTTTTGTCTGCAATTCAAAGAAGTGTGTTTTCCTTATCTATACGTGGCTCATCAGATCTCCCTGTATGGTTCCTGAAATCTATGGAATCAGTGGTGGGTGGGGTTTGGTCCAAGATTTGAAAGGACAATTGAAGATGCTGGACCTATTTTGAAGATGTGTTTCAGCACTCTGGATAGCTCCTTTTAATCTTGGAGCAGATTCAAATAACCTAGAAGCTAGAGACCACTACTGCTGAATCACTGCTACATTTGATTAAGGATTTCTAGAAAATAGTGCCACCATACCAAACATTTTACTTTTGCCTTTGTTCAGATCCTAGTCAGACTTCTTCAACTCCAGGTAGTGATTTTAATGAAAAGACTGTTTCTCATTCTTGATTTATTTTTGTTTGTTTGTTTCCAGTAGCAAATCTGGATTTCAAAAACGAATACCAAAGGATACCTTCTCTCTCTTTTTGTGATCTCTGGGACCCAGTCTTATAGATGGAAACTAATGGTCCTAGTCTTCTTCCCTTCTATGTAGCCTCTGAACTTTTTAGACAATTATCGCACTATGATTCCACTTTAACTGCAGTGCCTCCATCCAATGGAATCCTGGCGTTTGCAATATAAGGAAAGTTGGGTTGTTGTAGGTTTTTTCAGGCTATATGGCCATGGTCTAGATGCATTCTCTCCTGACGTTTCGCCTGCATCTATGGCAAGCATCCTCAGAGGTAGTGAGGTCTGTTGGAACTAGGAAAAAGGTTTATATATCTGTGGAATGACCAGGGTGGGACAAAGGCAACAAAAGTTTGCTCCAGGCACTGTCAGGCCATTATATGCTAATCAAGGTGGTCAGTGGAAACATTCACACCTAGCTCCAGCAGACAAGAGTCCTTTGTCCCACCCTGGTCATTCCACAGATATATAAACCCTTTTTCTAGTTCCAACAGACCTCACTACTTCTGAGGATGCTTGCCATAGATGCAGGTGAAACGTCAGGAGAGAATGCCTCTAGACCATGGCCATATAGCCCGAAAAAACCTACAACATCCCAGTGATTCCAGCCATGAAAGCCTTCGACAATACTTTATTTATTTATTTATTTATTTATTTATTTATTTAGAGTTTTTATACCCCGGTCTTCTCACCTCCAAAGAGGGACTCAGGCTGGCTAACAACATAAGTTCAATACAATAAGAAAAATCATCAATATAAACACATTAAAATACAATTCATACAATTCATACAGGTTACAGCAAAAATCAGTTCGTCCACAAGAATCACAAATTCATCGCCACCCGCCAGAAAGGTCAATAGTTATTGACTTAGTCAGCATTCTGCAAATGCAGTATCCCAAAGCCATGTTTTTACCAGCTTTCTAAATGTAAGGAGGGAGGAGGCAGATCTAATGTCCATCGGGAGGGAGTTCCAAAGCCGAGGGGCCACCACCAAAAAGGCCCTGTCCCTCGTCCCCACCAAACGCGATTGTGAAGGCGGTGGGACCGAGAGCAGGGCCCCTCCAGAAGATCTTAATAACCTTGATGGTTCATAGGGGAGAATCCTTTCGGACAGGTAAATAGGGCCAGAGCCGTTTAGGAATTTATAGGTCAACACCAGCACTTTGAATTGTGCTCGGAAGTTGATTGGCAGCCAGTGGAGCTGGCGCAACAGAGGAGTAGTATGCTGCCTGTACCCCACTCCCGTTAGTAATCTGGCTGCCGCTCGTTGTACTAATTGTAGCTTCCGGGCAATCTTCAAAGGCAACCCCACGTAGAGAGCGTTGCAGTAATCTATACGGGATGTAACCAGAGTATGTACCACCATGGCCAAATCAGACTTCCCAAGGTACGGGCACAGCTGGCGCACAAGTTTTAATTGTGCAAAAGCTCCCCTGACCACCGCCAAGACCTGAGGTTCCAGGCTCAGTGATGAGTCCAGGATCACTTCCAAACTGCGAACCTGTGACCCCGTCAAGCACAGGCTGTAACCCTATGCCCTGTTCGGAAAGTTATTTAGGAATCTCAGCAAGAGAATTCTAGTCTCTCGTTAGTCTATGTAACCCAGGATTCTGCAGGAGCAGTCATTATTATTATTATTATTATTATTATTATTATATTTATATTTATACCCTGCTATATGTCTCCCGAAAGAGACTCAAAGTCATAACAGTTAAAGCTGTGCCATGGGACTACAATTGTGTGATGTGAAAGGGCCAAAGGTCTAAACTATTAGTTATACAGTAAGTGTTGCCATAATACTGCTTATCCCTTCTATTGTTGAATTCTCCTTGAAACCCATTGATAGTTCTTATCACTTCCTGTTACTCATACTCAAGCCATAGATACACAGTTACAGCTGGTTGATATGGCCTTCTACCCTATGGAAGCTTGAGATATATAGTTTGATGGGGTACCTAGAATTCTCTAGTTTATTTCTCTAAGGCCACATCAACCTTCAGATGACATTTCTTACCGGGATTTCCATGATTGCTGCTTCTTTCTCAGCATGAAGGAGAGAATGGCCATAACCATCACGTAGTACACACCAGCTGAACCCATTGCATGGCCAGAGGGGCTCCCTAAAATAGGATGAAAGATCACACACATTACTCAAAAGGTATCATTAAAATAAAATTTAGGCCCTGGACAGGTGCCCTTTCATATTTCACATTTAGAACGAGTCTTTGTTATCTGCGGGAGTTTGATTCCAGGACAATCCCTCCCGGCAAAAGGATACCAACATCAGTGGATCCTGAAATCCCATTATAAACAGCAGCATAATAAAATAGTGTTCCTTATATAAAAAAACAAAATCAAGGTTTCCTTTTTGATTTTTTTCAAGCCATTAGTGGTTGAATTTATCTATCTGTCTTTCTATTTATCTATCTATCTATTTATTTATTGTATTTGTAAACAGTCTTTCTCAGTCCGCAGGTGACTCAAGGCGGTTTACAAGGTAAAATTCAATGCTTACAATATCATAAATACAATCAAAACATTACATATAATAAACAAAATCAGTATAATATACATCCATAGTGTCTCCTTGTTAAAAATGGTGTCCAGTCTTGTTGTCTAGTCGTTCTGTTGTCCTATGTCAGTTCTCTGCATTTGCGAACGCTTGCTCAAAAAGCCATGGCTTGACTTTTTTCTGGAACATTAAAAGGGAGGGGGCTGATCTAATATCTATAGAGAGGGCATTCCGTAGCCGAGGGGCCACCATCAAAAAGACCCCGTCACACATCCCCACCAAACATACTTGTGACGAAGGCGGTAACAAGAGCAGCCCTCCCCCATACGATCTTAAGATCCTAAATGGTTCATAAGGGGAGATGTGTTCGGATAGGTAAGACAGGTAAGAATCTATAGATGCAGAATCGATAGAGTGCCTTGTGGTACAATTTCACATCCTTTAGAATCCTGGGATTTGAAGTTTCTGGAGTGACATTTAGAATTTTCAGCCATTCAGCGTTCGGTAATTTCGTAATTCGTTATTAATTCGTATTTAAATTAGCTTACGATCCAATATTGAGCCATGCAGGAATAAGTGTGAGGAGTAAATTAGATTCGAAACAATTTTTTCAATTTATTTCGTAATTATTTTGTAATTATTTTGTAATTATTTTGTAATTATTTTGTAATTATTTTGTAATTATTTCGTAATTATTTCGTAATTATTTCGTAATTATTTTGGCATGTCTGGTGCAAGTTTTATAGTTGTTGTTTGTTTTATCACACCAACAGTCAACAACAGAGGGAGAGGGAAGCTTCAGAAGTTCCCCCTGTCCCATTTGGAGGTTTTTTTAGCATATTGCGCAATTGCGTCCGCCATTAACGAATCGATTCGTAATTATACGAAATTTCGTATATTTCGAAATTTTTAAAAGGAAAATTTCGGAATTATGAAAAAAAACGAAACGCAAGGGCCCCCTAAAAACAAAACAAGTTTAGAACCAAAAAATTCCATGGTTACCCAAGCCTAATTCAGCTATAGGGTCTCCCCAACCAATAATAACCAAGATTCCATAAGATACAGCTATCTCAGTTACAGTGGAATCATAGCAGGATAATTGTAGTATGGAAAGGCTCCAACACATTTTGCCCCCAAGGCAGACTAGGAATTATTGCACACTCATTCACTCCAACGAGGGAGCAAACTACAAGAGAGGAGATTCCATCTGAACATGAGGAAGAACTTCCTGACTGTGAGAGCCGTTCAGCAGTGGAACTCTCTGCCCCGGAGTGTGGTGGAGGCTCCTTTTTTGGAAGCTTTTAAACAGAGGCTGGATGGCCATCTGTCAGGGGTTTGAATGCAATATTCCTGCTTCTTGGCAGGGGGTTGGACTGGATGGCCCATGAGGTCTCTTCCAACTCTTTGATTCTATGATTCTATGACCAAGCAAGCCAACACATTTTGACACCAGCAACAGAAATGTGAACAAGTACATTTTGCCCATACTGGTAGTAAAAATACAGCAGTTAAAAATTAAATGACTTAAGAATTTTTGCCCTTTGTGGCACTCCAAATACCCGGAGCAGTCACCCGACTCTACTGCAGGGGTATCCAACCTTTTGGTCATGTTAGAAGAAGATGAATTGTCTCGGGCCACATATAAAATATATAAAATGCACAAACACTAACAATAACTGATGGTAAAAAGTCCATGTGTAATATTAATGATATCTGCCACCATAGATAAACAAAACAAGTCCTTGCAAAATAATCCCAATTATGTGCCGCCCCTTTCGGAGAGTGCAGGTCTTCTAGCTACAATTATATATATATTTGCTATATTTCTATACCACCCTTCTCAGCCCGTAGGCAACTCAGGGTCGTTTACAGTCAACATCAAAGCATAAAAATACAGCAAAACAATTAAGATAATATAAAATTATTATTATTATTATTATTATTATTAACTTTATTTATACCCTGCAAAATCTCCCGAAGGACTCGATGCGGCTTACAAAGGCCGAGGCCGCCGACAACAACAACATACAATACACAGTAAAACTCATAAGCAAATAATAAAACATCTAGCAAAACAATAGAACAGTCAAACAATTTTTATGATAAAATCAATAAAAACATATGTCATTTCGAGTCTCCTTGTTAAAACATTGTCTAATTACATTTGTTCAGTCAGTCCATTTTCCTATGTCCGTTACACTGTGCTTGCAAATGCTTGCTCAAAAAGCCAAGTCTTGACTTTCTTCTGAAATGTTAAAAGGGAGGGGGGCAATCTAATATCCCTAGGGAGAGCATTACATAGCCATGGGGCCACCACTGAGAAGGCCCTGTCTCTTGTCCCTGCCAGCCATGCTTGTAACAAAGGCGGGACTGAGAGCAGGGCCTCCCAAGATGATCTTAAAGTCCCAGAAGGTTCATAAGGGGAGATGCATTCGGACATAATATCATATAAATCATAGATAGTACCAATATTTGTGGATGTAACATTCCATTCTGTTGTTGCCTATTTATTTATTTACTTTATTTATATACCGCTTTTTTCAGCCCTCAGGCAACTCAAACTTTGATTCAAGAACTGTGCAACTGAGATTTTTAAAAATCACCAAAAAATCTCATAATGGTTCAAGTAAGTTTACAATTTTCATAGCTGTCTTGGGCCATATGTGGCCAAATGGCTGCAGGTAGGGAAAGCCTGCTCTACTTAATGTTTATACATGATAGCCATGTAAAATACGTGAGAGGAAGTCACAGGGAGGAGGGAGCAAGCTTGTTTTCTGCTGCCCTGGAGACTAGGAAGCGGAACAATGGCTTCCAACTGCAAGAAAGGAGATTCCATCTGAACATTAGGAAGAACCTCCTGACTGTGAGAGCTGTTCAGCAGTGGAACTCCCTGCCCCAGAGTGTGGTGGAGGCTCCTTCTTTGTAAGCTTTTAAACAGAGGCTGGATAGCCATCTGTCGGGGGTACTTTTGAATGCAATTTTCCTGCTTCTTGTCAGGGGGTTGGATTGGATGGCCCATGAGGTCTCTTCCAACTCTATGAGTCTAAACCTGCCATTTCAATTGTACCAGATGTTTAACTCTATTTGATATTGTAATGGCTTGTAATATTCCTTGTTGCTCCATTGTGTACAACTGGTCAAATCACAGATAAGTAATAAGCCATATGCTTTTCATGTTTCATTGGGAAGGACAAATATCTTCCCTTTTTCTAATTTTAGAAATTAGATTTTTCTTATCTACCTCTGAGATTGTTAACATTGCTAATTGTGTTTGCAGAACCTTGATTTCTTGTAATTTTATTTGTCGTGTCAGGGCAACCAGTCAATTGTATTACATTTCTAACAGAACAAAACAAACAGACAGAATACAAAATTTGCGAGTTTGGTAGTTGATTAAATGTCCTTTGACCAGTATCTGGCCACTTGGAGTGCCTCTGGTGTTGCTGCAAGGAGGTCCTCCATTGTGCATGTGGCAGGGCTCAGGTTGCATTGCAGCAGGTGGTCTGTGGTTTGCTCTTCTCCACACTCGCATGTCGTGGATTCCACTTTGTAGCCCCATTTCTAAGGTTGGCTCTGCATCTCGTGGTGCCAGAGCGCAATCTGTTCAGCGCCTTCCAAGTCGCCCAGTCTTCTGTGTGCCCAGGGGGGAGTCTCTCATTTGGTATCAGCCATTGGTTGAGGTTCTGGGTTTGAGCCTGCCACTTTTGGACTCTCGCTTGCTGAGGTGTTCCAGTGAGTGTCTCTGTAGATCTTAGAAAACTATTTCTAGATTTAAGTCGTTGACGTGCTGGCTGATACCCAAACAAGGGATGAGCTGGAGATGTCTCTGCCTTGGTCCTTTCACTATTGGCTGCTACTTCCCGGCGGATGTCAGGTGGTGCAATACCGGCTAGACAGTGTAATTTCTCCAGTGGTGTAGTAGCCTTGTATTATTTCTTGTAGTAGCCTTGTATTATTTGGTGTAACTGATAATTGCACCTAAGTTGAGCTCCAGCATGTACAAAGCATCCAAACAAAACAATATACCTCACTTCTTACAGTGTGATGCTGTCATTCTCTTGTAAAGGAAACATTATTCTCTAGTTCATAGATCGGAATTATGTGGTCCTCCAGATGTTATTCGACTACAAATCCCATTAATCCTAGCTTGCATAACCAAAAATAAGGAATGGTGACAGCTGCAGTTCAACAACTTCTTGTGGTCCACTTCACACACACACCACACACACTCCAGCTTCCCTCCCGTTGTGTCTTACAACTGTACTATAACAACCTTCTTTTGGATAATAAAAAAAACTTACCTGGACCAGTTTCACAAGTCACTGGAAACTGTTGGATCACAGGGGCCGAAGTGTTGTGGTAGAAACTGGCCTCATGGACCCACCAGTAGGGTCTCTGTCCAAACAGAATCCTACAGAGAGAGGGTATATTAGATACATTGTGGAACTAAATGGGTTTGTCAAAGGGAATAGGGGACAAGCTAAGGACCTAAGCAATACAATATTGTACATATAGATTCAGACTGTTAGCAAGCAGACAGCTCTGCCTAAAGACCTCAAGAAAGATCTACAAACTTGGCTCTTCCGATGTGCCTTCGGAGAGTGACCACTCAACCCATTTGTCTGTTTCCACCTACAGTTGTCCTCAGTTGTTGGGCTCCTCTCTCATAAATGCACTTTTTATGCCTAACTCACCCAGGGTTTTAACCTTTTAACATTTTATCTCACACATCTGGCCCACCCTTTGTGTTTGATTTTATTATGCCATTTTATATTGTTTAATTATTTGGTATTTTATATATTTTGTTATGATGTATTTCCCTGTTATTTTGTGTCTAATTATGTTGTATTAGATCTGTCATTATGGTCCACACGTGCATAATGGTCCGCCAAGTGTAGTTAAATACGTCTTATGTTATATTATTTTGGGCTTGGCCTCATGTTAGCCGCCCTGTGTCGCCTTTGGGGAGATGGTGGCAGGTTACAAATAAAGTTCTTTATTATTATTATTATTATTATTATTATTATTATTATTATTATTATTATGGGAGTCCTTTGCTTTTGGTAGACTGACATCTGATAGAGAAGAGAAAAGCCCCTTCCACACTGCCCCTATATCCCAGGATCTGATCCCAGATTATCTTTTTATTCCAGATTATCTGGCAGTGGAGACTCATATAATCGAGTTTAAAGCAGATAATCTGCAATCAAATTCTGGGATATAGGGCAGTGCTGAAGGGGTCTAAGAGAACTTGTTCATCTCCTGTTTCCTTGCACAAATAATGAACTTCCTAGATGCCACCTTTGAACATAACCACAAGTTACATAACTCATTGGAGACTTGGGGACCTTCTCCACATCCCTTGGAACCATCAAAACAACTCAGAACTTGAAGGAAGGGAGGAAGGAAGGAAGGGAGGGAGGGAGGAAGGAAGGAAGGAAGGAAGGAAAGGGTCCCCGCAGGGGTGAGAAAGGCACCAGGATTGTGGCGCAGCTGGCTGAGTGTCAGCTGCATTAAGATCACTCTGACCAAAAGGTCATGAGTTCGAAGCCAGCCCGGGTTGGAGTGGGTTTCCAACCAATTGTGTAGCCTGTTGTCGACCTTAGCAACCTGAAAGACAGTTGCATCTGTCAAGTAGGAAAATTAGGTACCACCTTAAAGTGTGGGGAGGCTAAATTAACTGATTTATGAGGCCATAAAGAAGACTCCAGCAAAGCATTCCAGCGGGGAAGCATGCGGGGAATGCGGAAGTGCTTCATCAGCGTCGCAGATGGACGATGAAAGCGACAGCTTCCCTGGCGGCCAGAAAAAGTTAAATAGCCTCTGTGTATGTCTGTATATGTTGTATGTCAAAATTGGCATTGAATGTTTGCCATATATGTGTACACTGTAATCCGCCCTGAGTCCCCTGCGGGGTGAGAAGGGCGGAATATAAAAGCTGTAAATAAAATAAATAAATAAATAAATAAATAAATAAATAAATAAATAAATAAGGGAAGAAGGAAGGAAGGAAGGAAGGAAGGAAGGAAGGAAGGAAGGAAGGAAGGAAGGAAAATATTAGAGAAAAGAAAGCCATGTGAAATCTTGTTCCATCAGGCTCAACTTTCTAAACGGTTTCCTCATATTCTGATAGATAAATCTGAAAATATTAACTTCTGAAAAACGGAGGCCTTCAGGAGAGATAAAGCTGGATATAAATAAATATAATAATAAACATTAATAATCTACGCTGCTGTATTATGAAGCTCGAATCTGCATTACATGGTCCTTAAAAACCCTGCACTGAATTTAATTATATGAGTCTACACTGATCATATAATGCAGTTTCAAACTGTTGAAGTTCAACAGTGACAAATGCAAGATACTCCACTTAGGCAGAAAAAAAATGAAATGCAACGATACAGAATGGGTGACGCCTGGCTCGAGAGCAGTACGTGTGAAAAAGATCTTGGAGTCCTCGTGGACAACAATGTGATGTGGCGGCAAAAAAGCCAATGGGATTTTGGCCTGCATCAATAGGAGCATAGTGTCTAGATCTAGGGAAGTCATGCTACCCCTCTATTCCGCTTTGGTTAGACCACACCTGGAATATTGTGTCCAATTCTGGGCACCACAATTCAAGAGAGATATTGACAAGCTGGAATGTGTCCAGAGGAGGGGACTAAAATGATCAAGGGTCTGGAGAACAAGCCCTATGAGGAGCGGCTTAAGGAGCTGGGCATGTTTAGCCTGAAGAAGAGAAGGCTGAGAGGAGATATGATAGCCATGTATAAATATGTGAGAGGAAGCCACAGGGAGGAGGGAGCAAGCTTGTTTACTGCTTCCATGGAGATTAGGACAAGGAACAATGGCTTCAAACTACAAGAAAGGAGATTCCATCTGAACATGAGGAAGAACTTCCTGACTGTGAGAGCCGTTCAGCAGTGGAACGCTCTGCCCCAGAGTGTGGTGGAGGCTCCTTCTTTGGAAGCTTTTAAACAGAGGCTGGATGGCCATCTGTCAGGGGTGATTTGAATGCAATATTCCTGCTTCTTGGCAGGGGGTTGGACTGGATGGCCCATGAGGTCTCTTCCAACTCTTTGATTCTATGATTCTATATGGCAGTAAAGATCTAGCCAGGAGTCACGAGGGTCCAGACTTCTCAAAAGCCATGCTCTCTGAGCTGAAAAATTTCCTTTCCTGATCCCAAACTGATAATTTGTTGAAGGAAAACTTTCTGTCCTTCAAAAACCTTATTTGAGCTTAGCCTACATACAAAAAAAGACTGGCGTTCATGTGATAAGCATGGAAAAGTGGCAGATTACTTACCACTTGAATACGAGGTTCAACCAGTCGCCGATCACAGCTACCCAGATGAGCTTGATCCCTACTGCTTCACAGAGATGGAACCAGATGGGGAAGAGAACAAAAAAGGTGTTTCGGAGGTCGGCAGCAAAAGAGACAAAGAGGAACCAATCCTGGGATCCTGGGTAGCTTGTTTGGAGGTAGTGTGTGGCTTGGATGCCGGCGTGATGGAGAAGATCCATGCTGGCTTCCATGGTTTCAGGGGCTGAGACAGAAACTCTTTGGAGCCGTGCTCAGGCTGTACTGCAGCCTTATACAGCTCTCGCTGCCTTTTATCCCTCCAGTTGGTGTATGGCAGCTTGAGCTTTGGACCCAAAATCACTTTGGCCACAAAAACACCTCCTGATCAAAGGTACTTTCCCCACCTCCCCAGCTTGGGACAAACAAGTTGAAAGGAACTTATGTAAGAGGGACATGCCATCCAAAAAAGCCTGTTGTCATCACTGCGAATGTGTTAGTTAACTCTTTGCCATACTTGGAAAGAGATAAAAACTGCCCCTCTGTCCCCTGGATATAAGGAAACATCAGTAATGTTACTCTATGCCCTTCCCCAATTTTGGATTGATTATTTCTAATTGTGTGTGTACAACTCCTTCAGCTGAAGTTTTCCAGATCTCAGTAAGTCTGACTGATAATAGGAATACCTTAAGATAGGTAAAGGTAAAGGTAGTCCCCTGACATTAAGTCCAGTCATGTCTGACTCTGGGGTGTGGTGCTCATCTCCATTTCCAAGCCGAAGAGCCAGCGTTGTCCGTAGACACCTCCAAGGTCATGTGGCCGGCATGACTGCATGGAGCGCCGTTACCTTCCCGCCGGAGCAGTACCTATTGATCTACTCACATTTGCATGTTTTCGAACTGCTAGGTTGGCAGAAGCTAGGGCTGACAGCGGAAGCTCACGCCGCTCCCCGGAATCGAACCTGCGACCTTTCGATCAACAAGCTCAGCAGCTCAGTGCTTTAACCCACTGCGCCACCGGGGGCTCCTATACCTTAAGATAATATAATATTATTATAGATCTAAAATAGAATTGGGTGAAAACATCATATAGATGGTATATGACTCCGAAAAAGCTGGGAAAAATTTATAACAACACGAGCACAAATTGTTGGAAGTGCAAAGTAAAAGAAGGATCATGTTTCCACATGTGGTGGACATGTGATTGGGCAAAAAGGTATTGGAAAAGAGTACAAAAGGAAATCCAAAAAATCCTAGAAATACAAATCCCCTGGAAACCAGAATTATTTTTAAGGTACTAGCTGTCCCCTGCCACGAGCTGCTGTGGCCCAGTCTGGTGATCTGGAAAATAAAGTAATGAGAAAGTGTTGGTTTCTAATATATGTAATTCCTTTATGCTTGTGAGTAAACAGTATTTCTTGTTGTTTCTTTGTCAGTGTTGATGTGGAGAGTGTCTGGTTTGCCTACTCTGGAATATGCAACATATCATAGTCCTTCTTTAAGGGTCTCTTTCAAATCTATGATACTATATCTGTGTGTGTGAGAGAGAATCATATCTATCTATCTATCTATCTATCTATCTATCTATCTATCTATCTATATTTATGACTGGATGGCTCTTTGTCAGGAGGGCTCTGATTACATTTTCTTGCCCTGGTGAAGAGAGTTGGACTGGATGGCCTTAAGTATTTTCTGTTGGTCATGGGGGTTCTGTGTGGGAAGTTTGCCCCATTTCTGTCATTTGTGGGTTTCAGAATGCTCTTTAATTATAGTGAACTATAAATCCCAGTAACTACAAATCCCAAATGTCAAGGTCTATTTCCTCCAAACTCCATCTGTGTTCATATTTAGGCATATGGAATTTTTGTGTCCAAGTTTGGTCCAGATCCATCATTGTTTGAGTCCACAGTGCTCTCTGGATGTAGGTGAACTACAACTCCCAAAACTCAAGGTCAATGCCCACCAAACCCTTCCAGTGTTTTCTGTTGGTCATGGGAGTTCTGTGTGCCAAGTTTGGTTCAATTCCATCATTGGTGGAGTTCAGAATGCTCTTTGATTGTAGGTGAACTATAAATCCTAGCAACAACTCCCAAATGTCAAGGTCTATTTCCCTTAAACTCCATCTGTGTTCATATTTGGGCATATGGAATATTCGTGCCAAGTTTGGTCCAGATCCATCATTGTTTGAGTCCACAGTGCTCTCTGGATGTGGGTGAACTATAATTCCCAAACTCAAGGTCAATGTCCACCAAACCCTTCCAGTTTTTTCTGTTGGTCATGGGAGCCCTGTGTGCTAAATTTGGCCCAATTCCATCATTGGTGGAGTTCAGAATGCTCTTTGATTGTAGGTTAACTATAAATCCCAGCAACTACAACTCCCAAATGACAAAATCTTTTTTTTTAGTGAAGGACATACATTGGGTTGTTAGGTGCCTTGTGTCCAAATTTGGTGTCAATTCGTCTAGTGGTTTTTAAGTTCTGTTAATCCCACAAACGAACATTACATTTTTATTTATATAGATTTATGAAAAGAAGTTAGAAAGGAATGTTGATAAATTACTGTTCTTGATAATCACGGCCGTAAGAATTTGCTTTGCGAGAAGATGAAAACAAAAAAGAAATACCAGACGAAGAGGAATGGTTGACGAAAATACTAGAGATTAGAAATATGGATAGACTCACTTTCCTCAGGGCAAAGAATAAAGAGACGAGAATGGAAGAAACGGATTGGAAAAAAGTCACTGAATACTTGAAGCAAAAAAAAAGAGTTGATTTTGATCTAAAAAATGGAGAGAACAAAGAGTGAGATGGTAAAGAGAAGGGAAAGAAAAAGAAAAGAAGGAGAGGGGGGAGAGTGAGAGAAGAAAAGAAAAAGTAAGAAGATCCCTAGAAGATACCAGGAAGTCAAAATTCATATTTCTCACTTTTTCTTCTTCTTTCTTCCTTTCTTTCTATCTATCACCTTTCTGTTTCTTTAATTCACATTTTTCAGACATAATCGTGCTCAACTACTCTATTTGAGTTTTTTTTCTTTTTCTCCCTTTTTCCTATTTTTTGTTTTGTTTTGTTTTCATTGATCTGGCACATGGAAATTTAGTCTTTTTATTGTTTTTAAATGGAAATCTCAAATAAAGATTATTAATATTAAAAAGATAATAATAATAATAATAATAATAATAATAATAATAATATATTATTATTATTATTATTATTATTATTATTATTAATAATAATAAACTTTATTTGTACCCCGCTAGCATCTCCCGAAGGACTCGATGCGGCTTACACAGGCCAAGCCCTCAACACACAATACAACCTAAAGCAAATTAAAAACAGTTAAGCAAACTAAACAACAAATAATAAACAATACACTAAGACGCAATAAAACTGGGCCGGGCCAGTGTAATGGGTACAAGAATTAAAAAGTGCTGGTGTGACAGGTGGGCTGTAAGGCTACTAGGGCAAGTGCAGTGTGCAGTGTGCGGCAATCTTAATTTAATAAAGTGCTTATGGGACTTGGTCTTGGGGCTTTATAGGTGAGCACCTGCACCTTGAATTGGGCTCGGTAAGTAAACGGCAGCCAGTGGAGCTCCTTGAACAGGAGGGTTGACCTCTCTCTGTAAGGAGCCCCAGTTAACATCCTGGCTGCTGCCCGTTGGACCAGTTGGAATCTCCGAGCTGTTCTCAAGGGCAGCCCCACGTAGAGCGCATTACAGTAATCCAACCTAGAGGTGACCAAGGCATGGACCACTCCAGCCAGATCAGCAGTTGGCGCACGAGTCTTAATTGTGTGAAAGCCCTCCCAGCCACTGCCGACGCCGGAGCCTCAAGTGGACCTGTGGTTTCAGAGGGAGTGTAACCCCGTCCAACACAGGTTGCCACCCTATACCCCGGTCAGGTTTGCGATCGACCAGGAGGACCTCTGTCTTGTTGGGATTGATCTTCAGCTTGTTCCTCCTCATCCAGATAGACACAGCGGCCAGGAACTCGTCCAGCACCTGAGAGGCCTCCTTGGAATTGGGTGGAAATGAGTAGTAGAGTTGTGTGTCATCTGCGTAGAGGTGGCACCTAACTCCAAAACTCCGGATGACCTCTCCCAGCGGTTTCATGTAGATGTTAAAAAGCATGGGAGACAGAATAGAGCCTTGCGGGACCCCACAGGTCAAAGGCCAGGGGTCCGAGCAGGCATCTCCCAGCTTCACCATCTGGGATCGACCCTCCAGGAAGGATCGGAGCCACGACAAAACCGTGCCCCCAAGACCCATCCCAGAGAGGCGACCCAGAAGGATACCATGATCGATGGTATCGAAAGCCGCTGAGATGTCCAAGAGAACCAACAGAGTCACACTCCCCCTGTCCAGCTCTCTACGGAGGTCATCCACCAAGGCGACCAAGGCTGTCTCGGTGCCGTGACCAGGCCTGAAACCTGACTGTGCCTGATCTAGGTAATTGATGTCATCAAGGAAGCCCTGGAGCTGGAGGGCGACCACCCGCTCCAGCACCTTACCCAAAAAAGGGAGGTTGGAGATCGGTCTGTAATTGTTCAGCACTGTGAAGTCAAGGGAAACCTTTTTAAGGAGTGGACGGACCACTGCCTGTTTCAGATTAGATGGAAAAATCCCTTGCTCCAACGATGCATTAATGATCAACACATACCAATCAACCAACCCCTCCCTGGCCAATTTAATTAGCCAAGATGGGCAAGGGTCTAGAGACGAGGTAGTCACCCTCACAGCCCCAAGGACCTCTTCCACGGTCTCAGGAAGAACAAGCCTAAAAGAATCCCACAAAATTGGACAAGCAGATGCCTATTACTTTAGCTCTCCCATCCAGAATAAATGGCAACTGCAGTAATTCAATTTACAGTGTTTTAACAATTAACTGATATTTAGGAGATCATTCCCAAAATAGTGAATCTATAGTATACCATAATTACATTTTGCAGCATGTCATCATGGCAGCTAAAACATAATAAATATGTTATCCTCTAAGTAGATGTGCTTTTAAGGTGGGATATTTCAGTGAAATCCAACCTATGTTTGTTTAGAAGTAAGTCGCACTGTATCTAAAGAGAAATATGGAGACAAAGGACACTATCTTTTGTCAATTTAGTAATCAGAGCTCAGGAAAGAAACTTTGGGGCAGCACTGCCTCCCAACCTAGCAGCATAGCAAAAAAAGTGGATTTTTCTAAACATAGAAAGCTTTATTTTCCCTGTGATTTCCCCAGATTATCTCCTCGTTCCCTCTCTGCAATCGATTCCAAAAGGAGATTTCTTGAATACAGCAGACCTATTTGTCAGATTTG